TCTTCTTTGATTAGGTATCTGTTCAGATTTTGTTATTTTTTTTAATTGGGCTATTTTCTTTTTTTTATAATCAATATTTTTTATTATGATGTTGTGGGGTACAGTTAAGAGTTATTTATACAAATACATTTCATTCAGGCACCCTATTGATAAGAGGTGCTTCCCCATCCCCAGACAGATATTTGCTACCGTTAATCCCATCTCCCCCCCCATAGTTTCCCACTACTGTCAGTCATTTTCTTATAGTATTAGGTTGGATATTCAAGGTTCATTATATGAGTGAGAATATGTGATACTCAGACCTTTGTTTTTGTGAGAGGTCACTCAGTATTATAGACTCTAGTTCCATCCAGGTTGCTGAGAAATTCATGATTTTTGGGGCTAATTTCTTATTGAGTTTCAAGAGTATATTTTAGATACAAGTCATTTTCAGATATGTGTTTTGTAATTATTTTCTCCCAATTTGTGGTTTTTAAATTGTCTTTATCATGTCTTTTGCAAAGTAGAAAACTTTAATTTTAATAAAGCTCAAACTTATTTTTTTCATGGATTGTGCTTTTGGTGTTTTATCTAATAACTCATCATCAAACCTAAGGTCATACAGATTGTCTTCTATGTTTTCTTCTAAAAATTTTATAGTGCTATCTTTTACATTTAGGCGTATGGCCTGTTTTCAGTTAATTTTCATAAAAGGTCTAAGGTCTGTATCTAGATTCATTTTCTTATATATGCATATAAATGCTTAAATTCTTCTAGCATCATTTGTTGAAAAGATTATATTTTCATCATTGAATGCCTTTGCACCTTTATCAAAGATCAGTTGACTATATTTGTATATATCTATTTCTGGGCTCTATAGTCTATTCCATTGTCCTAGGTATCTATTATTTTTCCAATACCATGCTGTGTTAATTACTGTGCTTTATAGTAAGTGCTAAAATCAGATTGACTGAGTCTTCCAAGTTTGTTCTTCTTTTTCAGTACTGTAATGCTTATTCTAGGTCTTTAGCCTATTCGTATATACTTTAGAATCAGTTTGTTGGTATTTATAAAATAACTTTCTAGGATTTTGATTGGGATTGCACTGAATCTATAGATCAAGTTTGTAAGAACTGGCATCTTAACAATGAGTGAATCTTCTAATTCATGAAGAAGGAATATCAATTTATTTTAGATCTCCTTTGATTTCTTCCATCAGTTTGGTGTTTTCCACATTCTAGAATCTGTACATATTTTGTTAGATGTATACCTAAGTTTTACTTTGCTTTTGGTGCAATTATAAATATTGTTTTGTTGTGGTGGTGGTGGTTTTTAGTTGGAGTCTCACTGTCACCCAGGCTGGAGTGCAGTGGCTCACTCACGGCCACCCCAGAGTAGACCTGCTGGACTCTGGCAATCCTTCCGTCTCCGCCTCCAAGTAGCCAGAACTACAGGCATGCGCTACCACGCCTGGCTAATTTTTGATTTACTGAAGAGATGAGGTCTCGCCAAGTTGCCTGGGCTGGTCTTGGATCCACGGGCTCAGGCAATCCACTCTCCTCGGTCTCCCAAAGTGCTGGGATTACAGGCTGAGCCACCAACCCCGGTCAATGGTGTTATTTTTAAATTTCAAATCACAATTCCTCATTGCTGATATATGAAAAAGCAATTGACTTTTGTAACCTTGCTATATTCACTTACTGGCTCCAGGAGTTATTTGAAAATTTATTCGATATTTCCTATACAGACATGTCATCTGTAAATAAAAAAGCTTTATTTCTTCCTTTCCAATATGTATATCCTTTTTTTTCTTGTCTTACTGTACTAGCCAGGACTTCCAAAATGATGTTGAATATAACTAGTAAGAGAACACATCCTTGCCTTGTTCCCATCTTAGAAAGAAAGTATCCAGTATCTCATCCATTTTTGACAGATTTTTGTAGATGTTCTTTATCAAGCTGTGGAAGTTCCCTTCTATTCCTAATTGGCTGAGATTTTTTAAATTCATGAATGAGTACTGAACTTTGTTAAAAGTTTTATCAGGTCAATTGATATGATGCTATGATTTTTCTTCTTTAACCTGTTATACAGTGGTTTACATTAATTGATTTCTCAATTGTTGAAGGAGTCATGTATACTTAGAATCTATTCCACTTGGTCATGATGCTAATAAGCTTTTAACACATATAAGCTATTACTATCACTACTATTGTTTTAGTGGTATATCTAGCACTGGAGTTAGCCACTGGGGACTAAGATATTCCTGAGAAAAGCTACAACACTATTATAAATGAAGAAAGTAGAATAGTTATAAACACAAAAACTTTATTCAGTTAATTGACCACAAATAAAAACAATCAAAATATAGAACAAAGACAAATCCAATCTTAAGAATACTATCTTTTCTTATGAAAAATCTACTTTTGCCACAAATTTCTCATAAGCCCATTCACAGTTTTCTTAGAAACCAAGCGTTAGAAGTAATCTTAGAGGCCCCAACTGCTCCCTGCTCCTACCACTGAATGCTGATCTATAACTGTAATAAAGCCCTTATCTAGTCTCTGCCTAAGCCTCCATGGTACTAGGAGATTGTCAACGACCTTCCCTGGCCTTTGTGCTTACTGGCTAGGCCCCATAGTTTAGGTTTAATCCAGCTTCCCCATCAATTACTTTAAAAACTTCATGACCTCCTCCCTGAGTTATCTTCTCCTAGATCCTACACCTGATATTTGTATGACATGTCTTCTTTCCTCTCAACCTCCTGGTCACTGTGCTACTTACGTGCCACTCTTGTATGATAATTTCCACACCCCACCTCCCACCTCCCATGTGAGGCATCCAGGACCAGAGGTAACTTTCCAAGAGTAGTTTCAATAAAACAGAGAAAAGCAGGATTATCACATACCTATTAGAATGTCTAAAACACAAAAAAGTTAACAATATCCACTGCTGGCAAGAATCTAAAGCAGCACATTCATTCATTGCTGATGGGAATGCAAAATGGGACAGACGCAATCCAGCTTGTACTCCTAAGTAATTACCTAGTTGATCTGAAAATGTATGTAGGCCGGGCACAGTAGTTAAAGCCTATAATCCCAGTATTTTAGGAGACCGAGGCAAGAGGATTGCCTGAGCTTATGGGTTCAAGACCAGCCTGGGCAACATGGTGAGATCTCCTCTCTACAATAAATCCAAAATTAGCCAAGTGTGGTAATATGCTCCTGTAGTTCCTGCTACTTGGAAGGCTGAGGCAGAAGGATCGCTAGAGTCCAGCAGGTCAATGCTGGGGTGACCATGAGCGTGCCACTGCACTCCAGCCTGGGCGACGGAGTGAGACTCCAACTCAAAAAAGAAAAGAAAATGTAAGTACACATACACACAGACATCAGTACACAAATGTTTATAACAGTTTTATTCATAGCTGTCAAAAACTAGAAGTAACTGAGTTGTCCTTCAGTAGATGACTGGATAAACAAACTATGATAAGTCCATACAGTGGAACAGTATTAATCAAAAAGAAAAAAAGAAAGGATGAACTATCAAATCCTATAAAGACCGGGATGAATCTTAAGTGTATATTGCTAAGTGAAAAAAAAAGTCAATCTGAGAAGGCTATTATGTACATTATTCCATTATAGAGATGGTAAATGGTCTGGATTGCTGTCTTCCTCTCCATATCAAATCCTTGTTCATCTTCCTTGGAAAGCTTCAACATCACTGTGAAGGACCCTGGCCTAAGGTCCCTTGATCACTTCAGCTTCAGTAACTATTACCTCCTGCCACCTCAGTCATCTCCTTCTTCATGATTACCCAGGACTGCTCTATATCAGAAACTTCAAGTTCTAGTCTTGAACTACAACTTTTAAATCTTCTAGTCCTTGCCCTCTCCTTAACCTCCATTGTGCCAGACCTTCCCTCTCACCATACCCTAGAGTCCCTGGCAGCCCTTTTCCTCGGCACCTTTTTCTTCTTAAACAAATTGATCTATTACTTGTCACTTTAGCCCTTTCTTTGCCAGTACTTTAAGTTTCTTTGCCCCTTGGTCCTTCCAGAAAATCTGCTCTTCCAACACCTTTGGATGGCTTCAACCATTTGTCCTCCTATGTACTTACTCTAGGTAGTGAAGTGCAACTAGAGAAAACTATCTACCTACATGCATTGGGGTCACTCCAAAAGTCACAATATCTTTTCATCTGGGACACTGTCACTGCTCAGGAGTCCTGTATTTCCATAGTCAGCTTTCTCTCCTTTACCATGAAGTAGCTTTCTTCAAGCTTTTCCCAAGCCCATCAATCTTCTCACCCCACTGGTTCCCCCTTAGCCTCCATTTCACTGAGAAAAAGAAGACATAATTCTCTTTGCAAACACCTACAAGTGGGCCTCCATCTGTCCCTTTCCTATTACATTAAAGAGGCCCCAGGTCTGGGCTTTTCTCACCTTTCACAAGACTTTGCTTCATTAGTATTCCCTCTTTCTCTCTCCTCGTCTTTAATTTTTCCTCATCTTCTAGCTCCTTCCATTCAAAATATAAATACCCTTAAGTTTCTGCCTACTTAAAAGAAGAAGGAACATATAGCCACCTTCCAAGACTTTTCTAACCCCTCCAGCCTCCAACCACTTATTTCTTCTCATTTTTCTCCTTTGGAATGACTGCTGTACCTGCTTTCTCCATTTCCTACCCACTCAACCGACCATGTCTCCACAAAACTGCTCTTGCCGAGGATACCAGCAAATCCTTGCTTCTAAATTCAAAGAATTCTTCATGGCGGGCTTTCTGGGCGCTTGAGCGCCGCATCCCTCCCCAGCCCCGTCAGCCCAAGCTCTCCACCCGCCTCCTCCCGGGAGCGCGGAGGAGGCCGTGCTCCCAGAAGGGCAGCCACGCGGAGGCTGTTCTGGAGGAGACTGTCCTGGAGGAGGCAGGAGCGGCGTCTGCGGCCTCCGCGGGCACCGGGCCCCGCCGGCCCCACCATGCGCGCGCCGGCCGCGGGCTGCTGAGACATGGGGACCGGGACGCGGAGCCCAGCGACCTCAGTCCGCCGGGCGGCGGCGGGATGGAGCCCGCGGCCGCGCCCCGGCCCAACATGGCGCCGGAGCTGACCCCGGAGGAGGAGCAGGCCACCAAGCAGTTTCTCCAAGAGATTAACAAATGGACAGTTCAGTACGTTTCCCCGCTCTCTTGGAATGTGGCTGTCAATTTCCTCATGGCCAGGAAGTTTGATGTGCTCCGTGCTATTGAGCTCTTCCACTCCTACAGAGAAACTCGAAGGAAGGAAGGCATTGTGAAGCTGAAGCCTCACGAGGAGCCACTCCATTCCGAGATTCTCAGTGGAAAGTTCACCATCTTGAATGTTCGGGACCCCACAGGAGCCTCCATTGCCCTCTTCACTGCCAGGCTGCATCATCCCCACAAGTCAGTCCAGCACATGGTCCTTCAGGCTCTGTTTTACTTGCTAGACAGAGTGTGGACAGCTTTGAAACTCAAAGGAATGGATTGGTGTTTATCTATGACATGTGTGGTTCTAATTATACCAATTTCGAACTGGATCTTGGCAAGAAAGTCCTGAACCTGCTGAAGGGAGCATTTCCACTCGCTTGAAGGTGCTGATTGTGGGCGCTCCCATCTGGTTCTGAGTGCCCTATTCTATCATCAGCCTCCTCCTGAAGGACAAAGTCCGCGAGAGGATTCAGATATTAAAGACATCCAAGGTCACCCAGCACCTACCCAGGGAGTGCCTTCCAGAAAACCTGGGTGGTTACGTCAAAATTGACCTAGCCACTTGGAATTTCCAGTTCCTACCCCAGGTGAACGGCCACCCAGATTCCTTCGATGAGATCATCCTGTTCTCCCTCCCTCCTGCCTTAGACTGGGACTCAATACATGTTCCAGGTCCCCATGCCATGACCATCCAAGAGCTGGTGGATTATGTGAACACCAGGCAGAAGCAGGGAATATATGAGGAGTATGAAGACATCTGCCGTAAGAACCCCGTCAGCACTTTCCACTGTTCCATGTCCCCAGGAAACCTAGAAAAGAACCATTATGGAGATGTACCCTGCCTGGATCAAACCAGAGTGAAGCTGACGAAGCGAAGTGGCCGTACTCAGACAGATTACATCAATGCCAGTTTCATGGATGGCTACAAGCAGAAGAATGCTTACATTGGTACACAAGGCCCTTTGGAGAACACTTACCGGGATTTCTGGCTCATGGTGTGGGAGCAAAAAGTCTTGGTGATTGTCATGACCACTCGCTTTGAGGAAGGTGAAAGGAGAAAGTGTGGCCAGTACTGGCCTTTAGAGAAAGACTCTCGGATCTGATTTGGCTTCCTCATGGTGACCAATCTTGGCGTGGAGAACATGAACCATTATAAGAAAACCACGCTGGAGATTCACAACACAGAGGAGCAGCAGAAACGCCAGGTGACCCACTTCCAGTTCCTGAGTTGGCCAGATTATGGCGTACCTTCCTCAGCAGCTTCCCTCATTGACTTCCTGAGGGTGGTCAGACACCAGCAGAGGCTGGCCATGAGCAGCCTGGGTACACGTGCCAAAGGGCAGTGCCCTGAGCCCCCCATCGTGGTCCACTGCAGTGCAGGCATTGGCAGGACAGGTACCTTCTGCTCACTGGACATCTGCCTGGCACAGCTGGAGGAGCTTGGCACCCTTAATGTGTTCCAGATGGTGTCATGCATGAGGACCCACAGGGCCTTCAGCATCCAGACCCCTAAGCAGTACTATTTTTGCTACAAGGCCATCCTGGAGTTTGCAGAGAAGGAGGGCATGGTATCCTCTGGCCACAACCTGCTGGCCGTGGAGGGTCAGTAACCCTCCCCTGAGCCTCTCACCTACTGGCCAGCCTTCCTTAGGCCACCCTGGACACCATGAGCCTCAGGTTGCCATCAGTTATGCTGAAGTCATGGATCAACATCCTTTTCTTGTCTCCCAGCACACACCTGCATGCAAGGCAGTCTTTCCTTAGGCTAGATAAATGTGGTGACATTGCCACTAGAAAGGGCCAGCAGCAATGTGTTCTTAATTCCTAGCACCTGCTATCAAACTGTGCCTTATTAAAACCAAATTGTGGCTATTGATTTTTGCCTGGGGCCCCGAGGTAATTGGGTAAGGACCTCCCGTCCCCTGCCCACCGCCATTCTCTTCCTGGAGGTCTCCTTTCTCCCACTCCTTCCCTTCGCTAGAATTTCACGGGGAGGGCTGGTGGGCTTCTGCCTTCCTCCCCAGAGAGCTTGACCAAGTTACATATTCTAGAGATCGTCCTGAGTGCCAAGCACGTTTCTACGTAGGACGTGTATTCCAGTGTCTTCTGTCCTTCCTCCTGTGTGCGTGCGTGGATGTATGTGCACTTCTGTGTATGGGTCCACATGTATGTGTGTATATAATATATATTGTATGTGATAATATGACCGTATTCTATAAATACATATACACACAGCTACTCCTTCGTAGACGTTCCTGGGGCTCCATGTTGCAATTCCGAATTCTTTTCCTCTTGGATCCTACTGTCTGTCCTGGACTAGCTGGGGTTGGGGATCATGTCTCTTGCTGTCATACTGCAGAGTGGGAAAGAGGACACACACATCTCCATGCTCCAGCCACAGGCCCTCATGCTTACGTAGTGACTTATCTTCCTCTGGATGCTGCCTGTTGGAGTCAAGGATATTGGTTTGCGGTGACACTGTGTTGACTCTGCATGGTTTGCCCTTTCCTGATGATTTTTCTGTTTACTTGGCCATTTTGGGAACAGACCTCCACTGTGATCCATCCCCTCACTTCCTCTCACTGCCCCAGAGATGGAGACCAGGGGTAGAGATGAACTCACTGGCCAGCCAGAGCCCAAAGCAATTGGTACGAAGTCTTAAAAGGAAAGAAGGGAGTCCAGGTGTGCGAAGAAACTATTATGAGACTCCCTCCCCAGGAGGATGAGCTGGATGGTTCCTTTTTCTTTTGCTGAATGGTTCCTTTCCTTATGCATCCTGACTCTGGCTAGTGAGATGCCTGTCTCTCCTGCCTCTGAGCCTGCCAGACCCTGGAGCTCAAAGCTAGGTGGGTTGTGTGCCAATAAGCTTGATCCCCTGACTGGGTGAGGTGGTTCCCTGCAATCACTGTTTGTCGCCTGCCCACCCAATGTGTCCCTGCCTGCTCCCAGTCCACTCACCCTGTGGTGCCAGGGAAGGAATCAAGTCCTCAGCACGTCACATTACCATGAAAATACCCAGAACCCTTAAATCTTTCCCCATCACAGAAGAGGTTGGTAGCTGATCAGACCTCAATAATTTTATACTGTAATAAGTGCTTTGAATGTGTATATTCTTATTTTTTACAGTCATTTCATTTTGTATTTAACATCAATGGACTGAGTCAGATTCAGAAAATAATTGTAATGTTCATATTCAATACCTTACAGTGATACAGTTTTGTATTTACATATAAATATACCAACATGATTAAAAAAAAAGAATTTTTTATTAGCTCTATCTTAGGTGACCCATTCTGCAGCATTTTCTCATTCTCAGAACACTGATTTCCAGACACTACTCTTTCTGAGTATTTCTCCAAGGTCGCTCTTTCTTTGCTTCCTGCAGAGCTTCCTTTCCTCTGCCCATCCATTAAAGCTCAGCAATCCTCAGGTTCTCACTTGGACCCCTAGTTCTCCCTGGATGATCTCATCAGCTCCTGAGGCTTCAAACACAGACTCCAATATCTGCATCCAGGATGGGCATTCCTCTGATTTCCAGACTCAAATATCCAGTTATCTGCTGCATAATTACTCCATCCACCATATCAAAACCTAATTCATCTACTTTCAAAACTGCTCTTTTTATATTCACTGTCTCAAAGATGGGACTGCCAAAAGAGGGCGCTCTTTTGCTCTTCTCTGCCATTTCTCTCAACATCTAATCAGTCATCAAGAACTGTCATTGAGTCTTCTAATATTCTCTTGTGCCCAGCCACCTTGCATCTCTATCCCTCACCTGGATTAACGGAAGAGACTCTACCTTGGCCTCTCTTGCTCCTGCCCGTGCCTCTCTTCTGGTTTCCTGATCCTAGCACTGATTCTCTTGGACGGGAATCCCCTCCATCATGTCTGCCTCCCATGCTGGACTATGAGCTAACAATGTAAAAGGCTACATCTCGTTTATTGTTGACCCCGTGAATCTAGCACATAATCTGGTAAATATTCAGTCAATGACTACTGAATAAATAAATGAATATAACCAGAAGTAATTAGCCTCATAGGAAAGGGGGTATTATGCAATGAAGAATAACTATTTGGAATGTTAACACTGTCTCCCAGCCCTGTGACAAAAGAGGTTTGGAAGAACAGAAGGTCTACTGGAATAGTATTCAGAAAAAATGGGAGGTCCCTTAGCAAAGGAACTCATCAGTTATATGACTTTGAGCAAGTTGCTTTACTTTCTAGTGCCTCAGTTTCTACATTCCTAAAATGAGCTTAAAATATCTATCTTACTGGGTGTGTGAAAACTGAATTAGATATTGTAGGTAAAATGCTTAGCACAGTAAACTCAGTGTAAGTGCTCAATAAATGTTTTTGAAACAGTTTTCATTAAAGCCAAGAGGAAGTAGGAACATTTAGTGACTAGGTTAATGATGGACGGGAGTTCAGCAGGCAGACAAGACTTGAGAGTGACGAAGTATCAAAAGATTGGATGGGAAGAAAGTTCAGCGGAGAAAAGTAAAAGAGAAAAAAGGGCCTATGGTGGATATCTGTCTTCCTTTCTGGCCCTCATTCTCAGCTTGCTATCAGAACACCCCTACTTTCCTTAAAAAACTGCCCCTCTGGAGTTAACCTTTGTGCATGGGGACAGATAGGGGTCCTGTCAGAATGGCAATTATCAACAACTCAAAAAATAACAGCTGCTGGAGAGAGTGTGGCGAAAAGGGAACACTTCTACACTGTTGGTGGGAGTGTAAACTAGTGCAACCTCTGTGGAAAGCAGTGTGGCAATTCCTAAAAGCTCTAAATATCAACCTCCCATATGACCCCACAATCCCCGTACCGGGAATATACCCTGAAGAACTCAAATCACTCTATAAAAAAGATACCTGTACACGTATGTTTATTGCAGCATTGTTCACAATAGCAAGAACCTGGAAACAACCATGCTGCCCATCAAAAAAGGACTGGATTTTAAAAATGTGGTACATATACATGATGGAATACTACGCAGCCATAAAAAAGAACAAAATCATGAATTTCACAGCAACCTGGATGGAACTAGAGTCTATAATACTGAGTGACCTCTCACAGAAACAAAGATCCGAGTATCACATGTTCTCACTCATATAATGGACCTTGAATATCCAATGTAATACTATAAGAAAATGACTGACGGTACTGGGAAACTATGGGGGGGGGAGATGGGATTAACAGTAGCAAATATCTGTCTGGGGATGGGGAAACACCTCTTATCAACAGGGTGCCTGAATGAAACGTAATTGTACACCTAACCCTTAACTGTACCCCACAAAACCATAATAAAAAATATTGATTATGAAAAAAAAAACTGCCCCTCCTCCATTCTCAGTCCATGTGGCCTAGGTCCACCATGCCTCCTCCAAGGGCCTGTTTCCAAGACTTCAGAGCCTCATGTCTTCCTAGTCAGAGTAATCAGATCACATTGAACAGGATGGGACACAAGCCAGAGCAATTGGAGACACTGAGCCTCAATTAAAGGACATCAGATATAGCTACTCAAAAAGAAGCAGGTCTTTTCTGCTGGAGTTGCCTTCAGAATAAGATGCAAATCTGAAATTGTTGGTAGCCATTTTGCAGCCACAGCAGAGAGGCTACCTGAGAGTGGAGCCAGCCCAAAGGAAAGCAGAATCTGGAAGTGGAGTGAACAAGACCAAGCTCAGATGGTAATGTCTGAGCCCCCGATTCAGTAATATTTGAAGTCAGTATCTTCTTGGACTTTATTGCATAAGCCATTAAGCTCTCTGTTGTGCTTAAGTGAGCTTGAGTTGAGGTTTCAGTCATTAGGAACTATATGTATATACTTTTTTTTTTTTTTTTTAGTTAAAGTCTCACTCTGTCACCCAGGCTGGAATGCAGTGGCACACTCACGGCCACCCCAGTGTCTATCTGCTAGGCTACAGTGATCCTTCCACCTCAGCCTTCAAAGTAGCCAGAGCTACAGGTGCATACTACCATGCCCAGTTAATTTTTTTATTTTTTATTTTTGTAGAGATGAGGTCTTGCCAAGTTGCCCAGGCTGGTGTCAAACCTGCAGGCTCAGGCAGTCCACTTGCTTGAGCCTCCCAAAGTGCTAGGATTACAGGCTGAGCCACTAAGTCCGGTCTAGGAACTATATATTAATACATGAGTTCATGAGAAAAGTTGGGAACACTTGGCCCTGTCCAATTCCTGTTAATATACAAGAATTCTGAAACCCAGAGAGAGAGGGACTTGTCTAAGTCCTCAAAGCAGGTTAGCAGAAGAGCTGGACTAGAATCAAATTTCTCCCCATTTCCTCTTCATCTTTTCCAAAATTTTCAGCATTTTCAGGACATAATCCCAACCCTAATATCTGTACTTAGGCCCAAGATTCTTAATTCTGGCCTTAACCTTCTTTTACCTCATAGCTCTCATTACTTTCCCCGACCTTGGTTTAAGCTAACATGAACTGTGTACTATGTCAAGTACTGGGCTAAATCCTTTTATCCATGATTCTCAATTAGTCTTCAAAACCTCTTTTAATGATTGTTCCTGTTTTATAAATATGGAAGATTAGACTCAGAGAGGCTAAAAGCCAACCCAAGACCATACAGCAATAAGGTGTAGAGCTAAGACCCAAACCCAGGACAGTTTGATTCTCTTAGACTACAGCTTCTTAGCCTATTGTCCACAGACTCCTAACGTGTCCATGCACAAACTTCAGGAGGTCCATGAACTCCCTAAAATTAAATACAAATTTACATATCTGTGCATTTTTCTGGGGGAACATTCATATGTGATATTGTCAGATTTTCAAAAAAATTCATGACCCAAAAAAGACTGAGAACTTCTGTACCATACAGTATATTCCTTGGGGTCATAACAGGACGGGCACATAAAAGGCCACCTGGTTAACTTGGCCAAACTCTTCCATCTCAGCCACTCTCTGAACAAATCTCAAGGGACTCAGACCCCATAGAGAAGCAGCCAAGTCCCTAGGGGCTGCCAGGAACACTAGCCACTGGGTTTCTGGTTTGGCCACAGAGAGCCTCAAATCCCCTGGCAACCTCCTTCCAATCAGCTGATCTTCACATTTCCCTTTTCTTCTCCTAAATTTGGATGTTTACCACATGCTAGACACTGTATTATTCTCAGTTACAGATAAGGAAACTGAAGCTCAGAGAAGTAAATGCCCTGCTTTCTTTTACCTGAAGTCTGATGAGGAATCTTTTCTCACATATAAAAATTCTGCTAGGAAGGGATGCCAATGAGGTCAACTCAAAGAAAGCAGCCCCAGTGGCTACCAGTCCTGATCTCTGACCAGTTTTCAAACCAGAGCTACCATGGCTATGTCCAGGAGCTGCTGGCTCTCAGAATGGCTGACAAGCCAGCAGGAAGATCTGAGCATTCTGTTTGAAAAAAGAAATGCAACTTCACTTCTGGCTCATTTCACCACTTGGTATGAGCTGGACACAATGCAATTGTTTGCAGAATAAGCTACACTGCATTTGCCAAGCTGACCTGGCATCCACATGCAAAGCAGGTTACATCAGAGCCCCAAGTAGCCCCTCCTTTGGAGCTCTGTAGCTGGTCAGAGGCGGAGACTGTGTTGGCTCCCAGGCAAATAGTTTTGTTAAGGAAACTATGAATCCCCTGAGAGTTTGTGCACACTTGTTTTGTTTCTCTTAAAGACTAAGCTCATTTGAAAATGAAAATTTTCAAAAGAAAGAAAAAAGAAGCAAAAGGCTTTGGAGCTTCTCTTTTCAAAACAAACAATGTGCAGTCCCTACCTTAGAAGCATTAGGCCTTTCTTAGTTCCTATTATATCTCACCAAACAACAATGCTAACTGCAACCTTGATCTTCAAACTACAAGCTGGTGCCTCTCTGAGGAAGGCTGAGGCTGGAGAAACCTGGAGAGGGTCGAGCAACAGTGATGCACAAAACCAGTCATTTCTGATAGAGCTGGCTCAGCTGGAGGGAAGGCCCAAAGGGAATCCAGGCCCCATCACCCAGAGGGCCAGTCATACACACTATGAAATCTATAGGTCACTGTTTTCATTTGAAACCAGAAAAACAGAATGAAGAAGAAAAAGGTCAATAGCACAACTTGGAGTTTTGGTTTATCCAAAGGGTGTCTTGTAGAATACATTCTACTGAAGATTATGGCTGAGAAAAAAGAAGCTTCACCCCACCTCAGTTGTCCCAAGTCTTCAGTCATCATTCCAATAAATGGAGATACAGATCTTCATACCTGGAACAAGGTTCTGGCTGGACCAAGTCCATCTGAAGTAGCATGGGACCAGTCACCAGGCCATCAGAAATTCAAAGAAATTCAATTTAAGAAGTATTTCCTGGGCACCTCATTCATCCATCCCACATATACTTACTAAGGGTCTAACATGCCAGACACTGGGCAAGGTGGGGGGACAGACACACAGTGATGAGCAAGACAGACATGTCACCTGACCTCACGGAGCTCACAGACTGGCAAGGATGGGATGTAGAGACTACAGCGACACACAAAAATGGGAACATATGAATAAAAGACCATAGAAGCACAGGGTACAAAATGGATATGTGTGATGGAGATTCATACAGGCTGAGGATTCAGGGAAGGCTCCTCAAAGAAGTGACATTCAGGTTGAGATCTGACTGGAAATTGAGCAAGGAGGAAGAATTCTGGGCTGAGATAAGGTGCATTGGCAAGAGAAGGAAGGCCAGGATAGGCCAAATCCTGAAGAGGGAGGAGAAGGGACAAGAGATGAGGCTAGAAGGGTGGACAGAAGCTAGATCCACCATGCAGAACCTTGTAGAGCACATTAAGGTGCTCGAACCTTAGCTTAAGTGAAATGGGAAGCCACTGCTGTGACTTAAGCACAGGAAAGGTGTATTCAGCTCCACCTGCCTTGTGAAAAAGGACTGTAATGGCACAAGAGTTTATAAAGGTAAAGGGTTCAGGAAGAGGAGTTGGACCTGGGGCCAGGTGCCTGGGTCTGAACTATGCCAGTGTTCCCAGCATCCAGGGGACAGCAGATTGCTCTCTGGACAGGCACATGCAAGGGGTATTGCTTACCTGGTTAAACCTCCGAGTAAAGGCCACAACATTGGGGGCGAGACTGTGTTTCTCCTTCTTACTCCATCCACAGCTGGCTAGTTCCTAGGAAGCACAGAGTCAATTTCAACAGTGATTCTTGTCAGGATGCAAAATACATTAGGGGCATCTGATTGAAATATGGATATGGAGGTGGGGAAGGACTGACTCCTTGGCTGTTCCTGTCTTCACCAGGTCAGAGAGGAGTGCTGAGTCTACAGATGAAGGTACAGCTTGGGACCAACGGAAGTGAAGATAAGAAACAGAATACTTTTCTCTACAACTCTAGCCACAATTCCCCAGGTTGCTGTGCCAAAATGTTCTTAACCCCACACTGCCACCCTGCTGTCACTTTCTCTGAGACTGGAAGTCCTTTCTTACAACACAAATTGTCTGAGACAGGGTAGAAATGTTTTAACCAGCAGGACTCATCCCCTCACAGTTGTGAGATTTAATAAGAAGACAGAAAACCTCCCGCAACTGGAGGGGACCTGAAAGAAGGCTGCCTGTGGGTAGTTTTCTTACAACAGAGTAGATTTCCTGGGTTGTTATTAATCTATTTAATGTTCAATTTTTTCTTGTTTCAACCTTGGGAGATTGTGTGATGTCAGAAAGTTCTCCATTTCATTTAGATTTTCAAGTTTGTTTCCATACAGATGTGCATAGTAATCTCTGAGAATTTTTTTGTATTTCTTCAGGTCTATTGTGATTTGATCTTTGGCATTTCTAATTGTGTTTATTTGGGTTTTTTCTCTCTTTTTCTAGGTCAATCTGGCTAGGGGTCCATCAATCTTGTTTATCCTTTTTTTTTTTGGAGGAGTCTCACTCAGTTGCCCAGGCTGGAGTTCAGTGGCACACTCATGGTCACCCCAGCGTCCACCTGCTGGGCTCAGGGATCCCTCCACCTCAGCCTTCCACGTAGCCAGAACTACAAGCGCGTGCTACCACACTCAGCTAATTTTTTTTTATTTATTATAGAGATGAGGTCTTGCCTAGTTACCCAGGCTGTTCTCGAACCCATGGGCTCAGGCAATCCCCTCTCTTTGGCCTCCCAAAGTGCTGGGATTACAGGCTTGAGCCACCACACCCGGTCTATTTATCCTTTCAAAGAACGAGCTTTTTGGTTCGTTGATTTTTTTCTATGATATTTTTGTCTTCTATGTCCTGTATTTGGGTTTTTACTTTGGTGATCTGGATTCTTCTACTGAAGTTAGGGTTTTGGTGGTCTTGTCTTTCCAGCTCCTTTAAGTGATTTGTTAGGCTGTTAACTTGTGATCTTTCCATTTTCTTGATGTGTGTTGGTAAAGAAATGAATTCCCCTCTCAATATGACTCCACTTATTTTCAAAAGCAAACCTGACTCTCTTTGAGATTTAGAATTTACCTCTATTTACTATATTTCTCCTTGTTCTGACAATGTATACTCGCACTTGGTTTCAAATGTATGTTTGACCTACCTCAGTTACATTAACTACCTCCTCCCTCTATAAGACACATACTTCAGTCATTTTACAAATATTTGGTACTATCACCATTTTAAAGATAATTTTTCAATAATTCCTTAAGGAACAAAAACTCTTTTCAAGTTTGTTTGTGAGGATAAAGACCTGTCTTCCCAGTGACTCCCAAAGCTAGTCTTGGAAAAATATGAGTTATAATCAAATATAAAACCCAACTCATAAAACTGACATTCAAGGACTGAGGTATGGTTGTTGCCCAGTTTCTGGCTGGTGCTTGTTTCCTTTGTATTTTTCCTGAATATTTCAATAAACATCAAAAGTTAAGTACATGTGTATGCATTTTATTCAAAGTCTGTGGTCTTATTTTCACACTGTAATAACTTAGGAAGACACCTGAAAAGGGAGCAGTATAGACCCAAAGGTCATATCCTAGCTGTCCACACACCTGCTGCATGATGCTTATCTCCTCAGAACTTCTATTTTCTCATTTTAAAATGGTTTTAATACTAGAGTTATCTGTGTAGCTCATTATAACAATCAAATGAGATTAAGACATGCAAAGCACCTAGCACATGACAGATACTGAATAAAGGCTGTCTGCCTTCTCTTCCCAGGGGCACGCTGCTGTTAAGAAACAAAGGCAGTATTCAGACTCAGCTCAAATTCCAAACAACTTTTTCCCACACCACGCTCTCTTTGCTGTCTTGAATTATTAACAAAATCTATTACCACTTCTTTCATTTTGCTGATGCCATGCCGGCAGGAACCAAAGCAGGTATTTAATACATCTTCCCTAAATTTATTTGGTTTGAACATTTCAAACCAGGTTTGAACCCTGATTTAAAAACTGTATGTGAGCCAGGCTTGGTGGCTCAGCCTGTAATCCCGCGCTTTGGGAGGCTGAGGTGAGTGGATTGCCTGAGCCCGCAGGTTCGAGACCCGCCTGGGCAACTTGGTGAGACCTCATCTCTACAATAAAAATTTTTTTTTAAAATTAGCCGGGCTTGGTAGCGCGTGCCTGTAGTTCCAGTTACTTGAAAGGCTGAGGCGGAAGGATCACCGGAGCCCAGCAGGTTGAGGCTGCAGTGGCCAGGAGCGTGCCACTGCACTCCAGTCTGGGCGACAGAGTGAGACTCCAACTCAAAAAAAATAAAAATAAATAAAAAAATAAAAACTATATGTGGTGTTCTTGAATTTAACAATTCCCTAAAGAACCTTTTGCACTGGAAGACACGTAACATTTAAAATTAAAACATCAGCAGAGTAAAACATTATATTTGAGAAGTATTTTCATAAAATGGGAAAGCAAAGAATTTTGAGCCAAAAGACCTTGCTCTGAATCCTAGCCCATGTCATTTATTTTCTGGGTGACTCCAGGCAAGTAACCTCTCTTGGCATCAGTTCTGTCACTGATAAAAATGAGGATGCTGCAGCTAATCCCAAAGAGTTGTGGTGGAGAGTGAAGGAGGCAATAGCCTGACTAAGGAGGTGACATACAGATGCTCAAGTAGCCTTTGTTGAATGAATGAAGTATGAATGTTTCTCATGTTGAAACCTCCCAAATTCAGTACAGAAAGACTTATCAAGGTGTCAGAAGAAATAAGATCATTCTGTGTGCCCTAAAACAAGTACTGGACCCAACGTCTTTGGCCCTGTTCCTCTTCTGTGTTTGGCCTGATAGGATTACAAGAGATCCCATCTGTGTGAAGTAGGTTTAGGAAAATAAGAAAAAACAGAACAAAACTCCTCCAGTTACTAATGCCTAAAAAAGGTCCATGCTATGGAAATGATTTGCATGTAATTAAGTTAAAATTGACCAAAGAAGACAAGGCTGATTCTAGAAGAGAGACAAGAATTTGGGCTGAGGCCAGTATGGCCCTGGTAGCTCTGTGTTCCTGGTGAGGCACTGAGCTGCCCGTGGGCTACCATACACCACCTCCCAAGGGCTCCAGGGCCTTCATCATACCCAGGTCATCCTTGGCTGACTCCTCAAGTGAGGTCAACTGGATGTGAGAGACAACTAACCCTGTACAGCCCTTTCTCAGTTTCTTCTGGGACCTCTAGCCTGTCATGTGGATGTTCCCCAGGTTCATTAGGAAAAAACAGAAGCTGTGAGAAGAAAAATTCCTGCCATTGAACTTACAACTTTCCCTGCATGCTCTCCCTGCCTCTGGCTGTAATGGAAGAGGGGCCACTTCTCTTCTAAAACCCACTCTCCTATCCCCATGCCACCCCTCTGCCTTGCTCTGATGCCCTCTGTCGTCCCCATACTATCAACCTCTTCCTTTGCGGTATGTTCTTCCTGCTAACATGTTAATATGCATAAGCCTCTACCATTAACTAACAACAATAAAAATAATAAAAGATACCTCTCCTAGATCCCCGTTCCCTCCAGTTCCCACTCATTCTTTCTTCTCCCTCAAGCTAATTTCTTGAACTTGCTTCCCTCTTCCACCTGCATTTCCTGCCCTCTCCTTCCCTGTAACTGCTCTTTCCCCTACTAACAATCTCCTGACTAGGAAACCAGCAGCTCCTTCACAGGCCCCTTTTGGATCCCTCGCCGTAATTGTTGCCCTCTGTCCTCACCTTTGTACACTGTGCTTTCCTGGTTGTCCTCCCACTTCTAAGGCCCCTCATTCTCAGCCTTATTTTCCAGTTGCATTTTTTCTTATTTTTCTTTTCTGTCACATACCCCCCTAAACCCCACCTACATCCATTCAGGACCATCTTCTACATTCTTCTATGCCTATATCACATATACTGACTACTGTGGCTTCAACCATATATCTGTGTCCAGTCCAAGTTTCTCTCCTGAGCTCCAGACCAGGATATCCAGCTACCTCCTACCCAGACCTTCCTTGACTTCCCACAGGCACCTCAAAATCAGTGGGCCCAGAACCAGAAGAGTATCTGAACAGCTGCCTTAAATAAAAAACACGTAAGAGCATAAGAATAATTTAGACATTCACTCTGACAGTCAAAGGAGAATGTTTATTACAAAGAAACTGTTTGTGGAAAAAATTTCTACTGGTGCAAAAAACAACTTTGTCTTCATACCCCCATCTACAAGCATTCCTAGGTGACAGTAAGTGTCAATATTGGGTTTCAACTCATTCTGCAAATCTTCTCTGTGCACCCTGCCAGGAGGCTCACCCCACAAGTTGCCAGCTTTGCACTTAGGGGTCCGGGAGTCAGATGCCTTGAGGTGGCCTAAGAAAGGCCTGACCCTGTCCATGTCGTGAGTCCATGAGGTAAGACTCTGGAAGAGGAGACCCCCACAGTATCTAGGCTGTGGGCCACAGGAAGCTGGTGCCAGCACATGTGTCCTTAATTTTCACTGCAATCTTCTCCAACTCACGTTCATTAAACATGTCTACTTGGAAAATGCACTGCCTCAATAAGAGTCACTAAATCAGACCTCAGGTCACCACCAGTCAATAGCACCACATCACCACCGTGCTTAGCGGGAGCCTTTTCCCTTCCTCTTCCCTGCATGCTTCGCCCTCTTCCTCTCATCCCACCCTCTAGTAGAACAAAAATTTTTTTAAAAAGGAAAGACCTACCAGATCTGCTTATGAACAATCTTCACAAGAACTGGCGAGGCAATTACACACATAGTCATTTAGCCAAAAGGGTTCTAAAACACCCCAGGGAGTAACACACTGAGGTAGTAGGGGAGACAGTGCCAGTTTTGGGGATAGGAGTCAGGTCTGACTGAGGATTAAGACATTTCAGGGCCTAGACTCTGGTAACAGGGTTAAGAATGGCCTTAGGAAACAGGCAAATAATAGAGAATAACTGGCATATCCTTCAAGGACTTCCAGGCCTTGTCACCACAAGGAGGTCACGGTAGCAAAGATGCAAGATATCTATTCCACCCTAGTATGCAAGTGGGGGGTCCTGGGGCTGGAGATAGTAGTGGTAGAGCTCCCATGGGAGCCTCCCACCTGGGACCTGGCAGAGAAGCTGGCAGAGAAGCTGGCTCTGGTCTCAGGAGTGAGTTCTGAGGGAATAAGAGTCACAAAAAAGAGAGGCCACAAACAGTGGTTAAAGAATCAGATGGACCAAGGCTGATTCCCCTGCTGTGTGTCCCTGGGTAAGTCACCTAAACTCTTAGTGCCTGACTTTCTTCATCTGAAAAATGGCAATAATAATAGCACCTACTTCACAGGGTAGTTAAAAGGATTTAATGGGCTGATATTTGTAAAATGCTTAGAATGGTGTCTGATACACTGTAAGTACTTTTAGTGTGTTTGGTAAATAAATTAAATAATGTTCATGGAAAAAGGCAGTACTGGGCAGGTAGGTGCAGGAGCTGAAAATCTAGGTCAGGGGAGCCCCTGGAATCTGATGGGGATAAGAGGGGAGGCACCCAGGAAAGAAGTCTCCAGGTGCCGGACTCCAAGGATACCTGGGATGAGGGACAAGGTCCAGCCAGAGAGAAACGCCAGCAAGAGTTATTGAGCCCCTATTTCATGTCAGGAACTGTGCTAAATACTCTACAGGTATCATCTCATTTCATCCTCACTGAACCCACATGGTGGATATGATTGCACATGTGAGAAGCAAGTGAATTAATCTCTCCAGATCGAACAGATAATGAACAGAAGAGGGGGTAGGAGCCCAGCCAGCCAGAGCATTGATGCAGGCCTCAGCCTGGGCTCCAGCAGCATTCCAGATTTTGGGATAACTGGATAACACAAAGGAACAGACAAAAACAGTGGCCGAGTAAGCTTCTGAGAGTCCCCTGCCTGAATCAGTGCCGGCCCAGGGAGGTAGGCTACCAAGGCCAGAATGGGGCACAGTACCTCTGGTGGCATAGGCAGGGCTTAGAAAACAAAAAGGATAGTAGGATTCAGAGTTAAAATGCCCATGAACTACACAATCTCCCAGGGTGAGAGATTCGGGGATATAGAATTAGTATCTACTGAGTATTAAAATGGTCTACTAGGCTCTGGACTAAGTGCTTTACATGTCATAACTTACTGAATTCACAAACAACACTATGAGATAGGTACCAGAATACTCTCCATTTGATGGATGAGGTTCTGAGGCTCAGAGATATTGCCACTTGCCTAAGGTCACATAGCTAGTAAGTGCTGGAACTGGGATCCAAACCCCAGACTGATTCCAGAGCCCAAGCTCTAGATGGTGCCAGAAAAGCTAAAACTCAGAATAGTCTGAGAGGCTGCTAAATAGGATGAGGGAAGCTTCTTGGTTCTTTTAGGCAACAAATGTGCCGACATTTATGGATATGCTAATTGGGGAGAATGCCCATCTGGTCCCTTCCAAGGAGTCCCCAGCCATTGAGAGGGAGGAACGAATGACATCCAGCAGTACTCCCCTGTGTTAAATCTGTAGTTCTAGCAGCTCTTATTAGTTCTCCCCTGGGTTAAATCTGCAGCTCTAGCAGCTCTTATTATTAACAAAATGTGAATGCTTTTATTTGTATATATTTCACTATAAATTCAATATCCTATTCAGCTATAACTCTTAGTGAGACTATTAATAAAATGTGTGAGAAGCAATATAGTTAGTCCATGACTAAAGACATATTTCAAAAGAGAGAAGCTGATTCTATCATCTTTCCCCCGATAAAACCCAAAGCACCTACAAGTCTTACTGTATTGCATTCAAAATGGGTGACACGTTCAATTGGTGCTTGACAAATACATTTGTCTAACATCACTCCTAAGACCCATCTGGCAAAGCACAGAAATAAAAGATAAATCTCAATGAGCAAAGAGAAAGGTAGTAGAGGGACATTACCCTCAAATGAGAGATTTCAATACACTTCTGAAAATCAGTATGGTTTTTGACTAAATGGAAACAAAGTCTCAATCTAAAATATACCACGAAGGGACTACAAAGGTGGTGAAGTCAGGCCACCTGAGGCTGGCCTCTCAGGAGAAAAGCCAGGTAGGAAAATAACAAACATCTACAAGCCACTAAGCATATGTGTTAAACTAACAAAATTTTTTTTTAAGACCAAGATTTAAAAAAAAAAAAATTTCACCTTAGAAGAAAAAGATAATTCTGAGATGAAAACTTTTTTAAAAAATGTTTTAAGGTAACTAAGCACAGTTAAGAAAATGAAATGAGAAGAACTTAAAAAAAAGTTGCAAAACAAATGTCTGATAACATTAACAAGGAGACTTGTACACAAAATATAAAGAACTGTTACAGGGCAGGCTCCGTGGCTCACTCCTGTAATACTAGAACTTTGGGAGGCAAAGAAAGGAGTGCCTGAACTAAGGAGTTCAATACCAGTCTGGACAAAATAGTGACACTGCATCTATACAAAAAACTTAAAAATTAGCCAGGCATGGTGGCAGGAGGCTGAGACAGAATTACTGCCTGAGCCCAGGAGGCTGAGGCTGTGGTGAGCCATGGTCATGCCACTGCACTCCAGCCTAGGTGACAGAGTGAGACTCTGACTAAAACAAACAAACACAAAACAAAATGGTTACAACTCAGTAAGAAATCACACATTCCAAATTTTTTAAAAAGTGAACAACAGATTTGTTCGACACTGTACCAAAGAGAACACACGAATGGCAAGTAAACAGATGAAAAGATGTTCAGCATCATTACTCACCAGGAAAATGCAAATTAAAAATACAATGCATACCTATTACAATTATCTCAGAAAGCACATACAACTAACAATGCTAAGAGCTGATGAGGATGCAAAACAGCTGAGCTCTCAGATGTCACTGCTGTAAAACAGTACAGCCATTTGGGAAAGTGAGCAGTTTCCTGTAAATTAAGCACACACTCACCAAATGACCCAGCAATCTCATTGGCAGGTATTCACCCAATGTGAACACATATTCATACAAAACTGTATGTGCATATTCGTGGCAACTTCATTCTCTATTTCCCCAAATTGGAAATAATCCAGATTTCTATCAATTGATGAGGGATAAACAAGTCATGGTACATTCATATAATCAAATACTACTCAGCAATAATAAATGAATAAAAGGACAAATGCCATGCTGCAGAGGTGGTGAAGTCAAGCTGCCTGGAAGGACCTCAACTCAGATGAATGTCAAAAACTTTATGCTAAGTTAAAGAAGCCAAAAACAAAAATTTTATATGATTTCATTTACATAACATTCTGGAAAAAAATAAAAACGAGAAGGACAAAAATTAGATCCCTGTTTACCAGGAACTGGGGACAGGAGGCAAATCAGCTACAAAGGGGGTGACAGACAAGTTCTC